CATACCGAGTCGGGTATCGGATACCCTGATCAGGCAAGGAAGAGCAATCCATAGATTCGAGTTTCTGAGTCAGTTGCAGCTATGCTGTTGAATGCTGGCTACTGTGCTATCAGCTGTCACTGCGACAGCGATGGCTGAACCCGGCCTAGCACAATCACGATTCTTCATCAGTCCATGTGCATGTCACTTCACACCGGGATGCTTCCGGATGGGGAGGCTTCTCTGTGCGACACAATGGACGCTACAACATGAGCCTCCTGCTACCTAGTGACCCTACACCCGAAAAGGCTCCCGAACCGAAAGGTAGATCGGGATCTTCTACAGCGGGGTCCAAGCTGACCCCAGTGACACGTGCTGGCCCCTCGAAGGGTGCAGGGGATGGTCCAGGCAGAAGATCAAAAACCGAAAAGCTTGGAGGATGTAATGTAGCCATAACCTCGAACCCTGAACTCTAAGCCCTGATACATCCATCCATCCGTCCCTCCATTCAGGCAGGCATGGCCGACAGACAGACAGACAGACAGACAGACAGACAGACAGACAGACAGACAGACAGACAGACAGACAGACAGACATGTCTATGTTTTGTATATGCATATAGACTGTACACACATAGGTATATATATATATATAGATATATACATACCTGCATACATACATACATACATACATACATACATACATACATACATACATACATACATACATGTGTATATATATATATTAATATATATATATATATATATTACCATATATATATATATATATATATTCATACATAAATACACTGTATGCATGCCTGCATGCATGTATGTATATCTACAGTGTGTGTATGTATCCATGTTTATATGTATACAAAGATATTGAGTGATTCACGCTGTGACGGAGGGAACCCTTCAAGGTGCCAAGCATCTTTGCACGGGAAACGTGCAACCACATCGGCGGATGCACGATCAAACACCCGGCCCACTGCAACACCAACACAGGCAATGTTCTGCATGTTCCAGCGCTCAGGGTTGGGTTTTAGAGTCAAGGCCTGTTCAAGGGTTTTGGTGCTTTGGGCTTGTGCCTTGGGGCCGGGATTTCTTTGTCAAAGCATCACGACACTTTACAGGCGTCTGCCGCTTCTGGCAGCAGTGCGCTTGGGCAAGCTGCTGCCAGAGGTGAGCAGACGAGACATGCAGAAACAACGACGACCTGACTATCTACACGAACCAGAGTCAGACTTCAGATCAATGTTCATCGCTTTATGGCTATGCACTGTGGGCCCTCTGCTCCGATCCTAAGACCTTCGGCATTGACATGTCTTTCAGCCCATCAACTCTGAAGCCGGACTCTGACAAGGGTTAGTGTAGACCACTGATACATACACCCAAATCCCTGAATGCCGAGTCCGAACATCAAGGCCCATGAAGAACCCTCCTTTAAAGCAAAGGTTGGTAGGGATCCCAAATACCCATGCCATAAAAAGAGGGGGGGGGGGGGTGTTATGAACCAGGGGTCTACAGGAATTCCTATCCATTCCTGATGGTTCCTTATCATAACCAAAGTAAAGTCTACTGCACCCCAAACCCTATTCAGGGGTCTACACTATGCCTCCACATTGAAGCAGAGGCCTCGAAAGAAATCGACGTAGAATCGCTCTGGTGGCTCGGCTATGGTCAGCCGCCGTTTCATCTATCGAATCAAGGTTTCAGCATTAGGGGTTTAGGGTTTTAGGGTTTAGGGAATGTAGGTCAGGGGCCTGCTCCCGGACAGGCTTGAAGGCATATACTTGCAGTTCCGTGGAGGTCCCAATCACCAAGCATCACCATTTTCTCGGTCCAATCTGTGGCCACAGGGCTGATAGCGTCTAGAATCTAATCCCAAAGGAAGCCTTGTAGAACCCTGAAAGGAACCCTGATAGAACTCTTAAGAGCCTTTAGGGTTTGGGATTGAGGGTTTCAGGCTATCTCCGAATGCCAACCCGAGATCGGATACCGAACGATGAGCTCGTTTAGGTCTTGGGGTTTTAGAGCTTAGGGCTTAGGGCCTAGGGTGTTTTAGGGTTCTGCGGGACGCGAATCAAAGGTTGGTCGGCCTAGATGGAGGCAAGGCCGCGTTCAGCAACCGACCGTATCCTGAAGACCCTTATACTTTAAGATTCCGAACTATTGACGTCAGCACACAAACTCTTAAACCCTACAGAGACTAGAGCCCGATCAAGACTAAACTAAACCCTAAACTCTAAAATGGCCTCTGGCTCATCAAGGACTCAGCTACATGTTCGTAGGAAAAAATACAAGGGACGGAGAACCCACGAGGCCACCAGAGGTGTCAATGCAGGGCTTCTGGAGAGCGAGACTGACGCAGTACCTGCAGAAGCCTGACACCCTAGAGTTTAGAGGTTAAGGTGACTGATGCCTTCTTTCGTGGTAGTCAGGGCTCCTAATTGCGCTGGACCTGCAGTGCCTACCACACAACCTAAGGTGGACACTACGAAGGTCACTAGGCAACTTTGCTGTATGTCTATGCCGATTCTGATGGGAAGAGTTGGATGTTTGAGATGCTGAGCATATGTTGGTTGACCTTCGAGTACTGTGCACGTTCAACAAGCGCCAAAGGGTCTAGCCCAATTTCCTCATTCATCGCTCTTTTGGGCCCCCGACGAAGAGAATGGTCCTAGATCGCAAGGAATAGAACCCCTACAAATCCCTGACGAACTCTTGAAGGGAACCCAGTATGGTTGCTCTCCAAGCTCGCTCTCAGAAGTCCTGGTCGCCAAAGACACCCAAAACAGGTTCAGAGTCAAGACCGCAGCTCTGCCACGGATTTCTGATTATGATTAGCAACTTTACTTGCCAAGCCTGAACTTAACGATGACTGGTCCAGGGCTCGGGCTCAGGCAAACTAGTGCTTGCAGGGGTTGAGGGATGCTCAAGGTGAAAATGGCTCACATAGGGGTCAGGGCACGACCGATGATTCCAGTGCCTTGGAGGCAGCTGCAAAATCTCTGTTTGGAATGCCCATGGCACAAGCACCACTCTGCTGCCACTCCTGGCTTCCACAACTCAGCCCGCCGGGCTCATGGTTTATACTAGGCTGCTACGTTGAAAACAGAACCTCGGCAACTTATCTTTCCGAGACCTAGATTGTTTCGTGTCGGCTTGCATTCTCCGTACACGGCGAAGCTAAGCCTGAGATCAGGACTCTTCAGGGCTTGTAACAAATACATAAACATGTACATATACAGACACATAGTGTACACACATATCTATACATATATATATATATATATGTATATGTAGATGTATGTATGTACAGATTGTATAGTTATACATATATTATATGCATATATATATATATATATATACATGTACGGCATGTGGTGAGAAGCAAGTTTTCGCAGCAGCAGAGTTGCCAGCTGCTCTTTACATGGGTGCAGATGGCACTGGCAAAAATCCAAGCTCGCTGAAACTCAGCTTTTCCGTCTTCAATGCCTCAGCCAAATCGAAAAAGTACTGCATAATCTTATATAACGCCATAAGACACTATAGAGTACTATAATATACTGTTATATTAGGCTGCAGACCCGTGTGTGGAGGAGAAGGGAAAACTTCGGACACTGCATGCGGGTGTGCGTATTTTCCTAAGTCTAAGTCTAGGTCTAGCTGCATCTGTCTAATTATCAATCTTCTGTCAACCCGTCGATCCAATCCAGCTACATATCCACCTGCGGTTACCTTCCAGCATCGGGTTTATCCCACATCAGTCGGCGAGAACTGTGGATGCCGTTTCAGAGAATTACACATCAGTCGCGAGAAACGCTCATTGTAGTCTTCAGTCCACTCGCGGCCAATTTTCAGGAAACGTCGCTGATGCTGCTGCTGTGGTTTCTAACGATTTGCAATGCCATCTAGAGCTAGGGCAGCTAGGGCACATTCTGGCAGTGGCGCCTGTCGGGTGAATCGAAGCCATGGGTCTTGAAAGAACCCTCGACATCCTCGTTGCGAGTTTTGATCTGGTGTTTGGAGCGACGCCGGCGACACCCACAAAATGCAACCGGTCTGGAAACTCACGCGGACGATTCACGAAACGATGCTTGAACTTGGAAACCGCAGGTGGGTGCGGGTGTGGGTTTCCAGCGCCGTACAGCGCGACCGACATGGCCTGCAAACGAGCGTGCCTGAAGATGCTCGATTCCACAACCAACCCTCGAGACACCCATCCGTACGTCAACCGGCTGTTTTCCATGTAGACATTCGATCAGACATGATGACACTGAGCTGGGTACCTCATACAAGTTGTCAGTGCAAACGAAGATCGGATTCTCTGTCTATCTTGTCTATCTATCTGCCCATCTATCTATCGGCTATCTACCTACCTACCTACCTACCTACCTACCTGCCTCCCTCCCTCCCTACCTGTCCATGTATTTATCTATCTACCTATCGTCCTATCTGACTGTCTTTCCGTTTACCTATCTACCTGGCTATCAACTTCAGAAAAAGATGCAAACTTACAAACCAGCGAAACATGTGTGTATGTGTGTATATATATATAAACGCGTACTGTTGATGTGTTTAGCTAGTTGTCTATATGCATAGAAAATGCACACGGAGATAGATGGATAGATGGATAGATAGATAGATAGATACATAGATAGAGAGATAGGGGGATAGACAGATAGATGTATAGATATATAGATAGGTAGTTAGATACACAGAAAGATTCACAGATAGACGGATAGATACATAGACAGGGTGCTGCAGCAGCCAGTGATGCCTTGATCTGATGCCGTTTTTCGAGGCAAGCACATCCCGAGGTGCCCATGCTGGAGCCTGTTCAGGGTTGATAATGTAGCGTCCTTGATACTTGGAATATGGTTTTGGGGCCCATTCTACTATAACTGTGATAAAGATCCCCAAAGTTAAAATAGTGTAGGTAATTAGTAAGGCCCCTGTATCAGGGTTGTGGTTAAGATGCACTAAGCGCCCCACCTCAGCAAGGATTCCAGCTGCTCAAAGCCCCGGCCAAACTTCGATGCCGCCAGGACCAAGCTTAGGCTCCTTCCGCAGTCGAGGGATCAAGTGGGGTGGACGAGGATTCCCGACTTCGAACCGCTTTAATGGCTGTGATATACACATTTTTTGTCTTGGCCAATAATATTGGGCTTCATTCCACATGATACAGGGGTTGGGCATACTTTGGCCATAGTTGGGTGGTGTTGGTATATCCAAACCGAGCGAGGCCTGAGGCCTAACCTTTGTCCGCTTTGGGCATTGCGCCACTTAAACTCTGGGAAGTTCTACATGGCATGGCGTTTCGTGACATACCTGACTACAGTTGGCCGGTGGCAAAGTAATGCAATCACCCAAACCGGGCAGGGCTTGCCCTAACTGAAGCTGACACGGAGATGCACTCTTCTCAAAACGGCTACAGATACCAAAGCATAGAGGACTCAAAATCAGCACGCCGGCCGAGGATGTGAGTTCAACCCAACCCTTTCGAATTGGACTTCTGTGACACATAGCCGGTAATCTCTAAACCTTAAACTGCAGTGAGCGTCCTTGAACCGTAAAGCCCTAAACCCTTGAACCGTGAATTCTGAAACCCACGGCCGACACCGCAACAGCCCAGAATCTCTACAAAACCCCTAGCCCCAAAACCCCCCGAGCCCAAGCCCAAAACTTCACTGAGCCCTAAAGCTCTGAAGCGACAAGCCACAACTGAGCAGGTCGCCTTGTGGTGCTTGTAGTACGTGCCACCTCCACGCAGCCCTACTTCCCATACCCTGCCCGACGCACATTGGCCTTCGAACATCTTCCGATCCCAAAACGCGCAGGAAGAGAAGGCACTACACCTTCCTAACAATCTTTATCTTATCTATGTAGGAACCCTAATCATCCCTAACCATGAAAAAACTGGGTAGTGGAGAACGACTAACTTGGCAGGCAGGCTTTGCTGGACCGGGTGCTGGGGACGTCGGGCTGTCCAGCATAAAGGTTCCGGCTTTAGTTTCGACTCTCACACTCGCACGAGGCAGGCAAGGCTCCAGATTGTTTTCCCTCTCGCATTGCTGAGAACTATGCTCACGGCGAGGTCTGTATAGGAAAGATGATGCCAATCAAGTTTCTGATTCTCTGACTGCAAGGATTCCAGCCAGACTGCTTAGATGAAAAACCCAGCACGAAACTCAAGCGATATACCAAAGAGATAACAAAATAACCATAGATAGATATGACGACAGAGATCTGTATCAAGGGTTTAGGGTTACGTTGCAAATCCCACCTGGTTGTCCATTCTCCGTGTACTTCCGCCCGTAGTTTTGCATCTTCATCTTGTCCTGCATCTGCCCTAAACCTCGACCCTCCTAGACACTTGCCGGTGGATGGATTACACTGCCCATTGCCCATGGAACCCAACGCCTTCCCTCTACCGAGATCATTAAATATCCTCTAGACTCGAAAACAGACAGAACGCCTAGACATCGTTAGACGAAGGGGGATTTGAGTTTCCCAGCTCTGTGCAAGACAGGAACAAAAGGAATGTGCCCCTGTGGAAGTTACACTGGCCAGTAGGTCCTCAGCCTGAACGGCTGCCGGGCTTGTCTCCACTCGTTTGCCCAGTTCCACCAGGTCTCCATAGACCTCTGCATCGCCGGGCTTGTAGGTAGGGCTTGGAAATGCTTTCGTTGCTTGGGTTCGCTATGGCTCACGAAATTTCAGTATGCCTCGAGACAACGCACTACAGTCTGCGTAGAGCCAATTTCATGCCAGAGTCTTTCTTGTTTTGGTTACAGCGTGGCAAGGCAGAGAGTCACAACGGCGCAGCGCACGGCTCCGGGAAACTGCCAGTAAGAGGTCAACATGGCGCCGGTGGCCAGTTGTTGCAGAACGAAGTTGGGAGAAGTTTGGACTGCGTCCAGAGCCTAAAACCCTTAACCCTAAACCTCTTGCTTGCCGGAGAAAGAAGCCATGTCTGTGGGAACATGCAGGCCTCATTGAGAACCGTAAACCGAAATCCTGCTGATGATAGACGACTACTTTCGAGATCCCTTATGTAGAATGCTTGGAGGAACCTTCCGAAACCCTAGAAACCCCGGCGCAGAGAGGGATGTGGATCGCCAGGTGGCGCTTGCAATGGAATGCACCTCTGACTTCTTGACGACGTAGGTGAAGTCCTCGCACGTCTTATGCTCTGCCATGACAATCGCCCGTTCGGCCGTTGCAACCAAAACAAACCCAAGGACGGAAAAAAACAACAATACAATCGGCTATATAGGGAATCGCACACCTCCCCCCAAAATCACCTTTTGCGAGTTGTTTCAGGCTGGCATGTCAAAATCTCCGACGCTGGACAGGGGAAAGCTCCATACTTAGGGACCTTTGCAACAGCGGAAGGTGCTCAGCGGGTGAAACGCACACGTGTGTCCTCGTCCGGCCGAGTGCTCAAATGGATGTAATTCGCTGTAAATACGAAACAGGGCCACGCCGCTAGGCATGAACCAAGTTATTATGAGCACATTCAAATACTCGTCAGACCCGGAAAGCCGGATGTCGGGCTTCGTCCGTTTACTCCTGTTCATCGAATTGTTCTTCGACGCGAGATTGTACAAGCCGTTCAAGCACCGACAGCATCTCAATACAAAATTGCGTCCCCTCCGACCATAAAAGTCCAGGCATGCGAAACGGGAGACACTCTGCAAACTATGCAGGCTTTCGCTTAGCAGGTTGAGCATATAATTTAACAACAAGCTGTCGACTCGTCCTCCGCGATGAGAATATGATACGTTTTGTTGCAATAACAGTGTCTTCTTCTTATTCTTGCTATGACTACGAATATTCGTATACTATTTATCATGAATGTGTCTCGACCCCGGACGTGCCTTTGGGTTCCAATTCGCCAGGAGGTCGGCACTCGCACAGTACTTGGCATAGCATGTTTCCCAGATCTCCTCGTAAACGATCCCCTTTCCTCAGAACGGAAGGGTTTCGGTTTGAGGGATTCGTCTCTTCAAGCTGGTGGTTGCTAAACGTCTCTGTGCTGCTACTGCATCTGCGCTTCTGTTGAAGTGGGTGATGATTTCCTCGGTTGATGTCTCGGGCTTCACGTCGAAAATTTCGCCGGCCTGGCCGGGCGTGGGGGTGGGCAGGAAATCCATCGGCTCAACTGATGCTACGGTACATTCTAGTATATTGTAGCACGGCAGCCTATGCCACCTCTTTGAATCAGCTCTCTACAGCCTTAAGAACCCAGCAGACAGAAGCCGTCTTGGTCTTAGTCTTGCAGCGATGGTATCGAAAGCTCTGGCCTCGTCCAGGTGCTTCAGCAACGGAAGCACATATTCCAATGGGAACCACCTGCGAAAGATCGGGTGTCGGGCAGTTTTGACTCACACACTCGCAAATGCGGGCATGGCGATAAGTGTCCGGGCTTGTTTAGGGTTTAGGGTTGGAGACTCAGAGCATCCCCAAGCCACGACAAATCTGTTGGTATATGGAAGGTCGAAGGATCAGCGCTCCAAATGTCGTCTGTGAGAGGCCGCCTCTGCCCATCCAGAGAGCCAGCGAAGAAACCAACCCGCTGCAGCCACCGGAAAAAAGGCAAGCCGTGCAAAACAGTGCAGAAAAAACTGAGATGGTCCTCTTACTCCGCAACCTGCCCTCTCGCTTCAGGTAGGCGGAAGACAAAAGAAAAAGTGTAGGCCTTTGGTGCCACTTACGATTCAGGCATGCCCCCCCCCCCCCCCCGAATGCTGAAGCTCGCACGACAGAGATGTGTGACGTCGACTGCCTTGCCTGCCCTTTTGCGCATGGGTCCGATCCAGCAGCTTCTGATGGTGAAAAGGCCTGAGATGCAGGAAAAGCAGGTGTGGGATATCGGCATTTACTGCCCGATGTGTGCATCAGACTCCAACCTGCTCCCCCGAAACAGAATGAGCCACTGTATCGCCTACGAGTTCTCGTATCATATGTCCAAAGGCCTGTTCCGATTATTCAGGCCCCTATATTCCACGACTTCTTGGCCTGCAGACTGATATGCCCAAATCAGCCATGTCCATGGTTCCCGTAATGGACATGGAATAAGATAAAACATGCTTCAGGTCGCTTAGCTGGCATGCCTCTCTGCAGAAATCTAACCCTAGTAAACACAGTTTGGATTGGCTTTGATGTTAGGATCCCGATTATAGTCCTTGTTTTTCCCCCCGAGGTCTATCTACTGTGTTCGTGTGTTGTGTCAAGGCAACCTAGAAGAGCCAGAGTGCTGCTCTGTGGCAGTTCGGGGGCCTAGAAGGTCACGTACGGTGCGCAAATGTGCATGCACGCGACGTCTTTGAGTCACATTTGGAGTTTTGTTCGTCTCAGGCCGAAGGGTTGTGGGCCCCGACTGTCTGAGACCCTGCTGCCAAACCCGAGCCTCATTACAGTATGCTATCCTCAAGCTCACCAGCCCACAACTATCCAGTGACAGGCGGCAGCAGCGGCAAAACAATCCTCGGCCGGTGCAAGGCGCGCTTAAGGTGTAGGTCCGACTTGCCTACGCAGGTCCGCCTCACTGCATGCCCCCATGAAGCTCCACTAGAACAAGCACGCATGTGGAATGTCAGTCGCTCTTCTTTGCAAGGCCCTGCGGCTTACAGCTATAGCAATCCAGGATCCACTGAAGGTGGAGTTGATTTTGCGAAGGTGGGCTGTTGAAGCCGCAGATGATATTTTCACCTCGGACGGGCGCAAAGGTCTGGCGGCTTTGGCAAGGTGGCTTAGACTCTGGGGTCGCCGAAGAATGAATATATATATATATATGTATGTATGTAAGTAAGTATGTATGTATGTATGTATGTATGTATGTAGGCCGTCTATCTGTATGTGCAGATGTATGTACATCTTTATCTAATATCTACATACCTGTTATATTGTGAAGATCTACATACACACACACACATATATATATATATATGTATATATATATATAAACACATGCATAAATATACAAGTGCATTTCTATAAGCACATGCATATACACATACATACGCATCATATACATATGTATATACATATAAATATATATATATATACACATAAACACAGACATATACATAGACGTAAAAGTGTACATGTAAACAATCGCCGCACTCTGTAGCTCGGCGCCAAAACTGGACGACCCTTCTTTTCGTCGTGTGGATAGGTGCGCTGCAGCGCCGTTCGGCATGCAGGTGCAGTCTCAGCAGCCGGCGCCGGGTGCGCACTTTC